TGCCCCTTAAATGGAGGCCTTGGGAATGCCACTTGCCTGTCCTACCCCCAGCCCTGCTCCCATGATCTTGCCTATACCCAAGACAGCCTTTTAAGGCAAAGCTCCTCTATCCTTTGGTTTCCCCAGGCCTGGGTTGGCTCTCCTGTCACTTTAGAAAGGTTTCCTGAACTAGGCTCAGGGTGGTATCACCTCTGGATGGTGATGGTGGGTGACACTTCCCAGAGTGAGCATTTATTAAAAACTGCTAAGATCCCTGCCTGCCCCTCCTTCCCAGCCCCACTGAGATGTGAGTGTAGCATTTCTGTGTCAGTCCCCAGGTCTTTCAGACCTCCAATCTGTGGAAGCACTTGGGGGTCTCTCTCTGGCCAGTACCTGTTCTTTGGAACTCTTGGAACTCTGGGCAGTGTTCCGTGGATCTTCCCAGTGGGCCGGCTGTGTGTGTGTGTGTGTGTGTGTGCAAGGGAGCCCTTTTTCTAGAGCAGAAGGGACATGGAGAAGGGGAAGCCAGAAGGGTAACTCTAAGTTAAGGATTCTCAGGGCTCTTGATTTAAAGCAGTCTTCTCCTTTTCAAAGGATGCTCACAAGTGTCCTGGATGGGACAGGGTTGCGGGGGAGGCAGGAGAGAGAGGTGATAGTGTCCGTGGAGCCCCTGAGGAAAGCCAACCTCCCGCTCTGTGCTTCCCCATTGCCTCTTGTCTGAGGTGGGCCTGACACTTCCCTGACCAACACAGGTTAGGATGCAGAAGGCTGGCCCGCTCTCATCTCTGCCCCAGGTGGGAGGAGGCAGGACTCAGCTGGGAGAACCATAATGGGGAGGGCCCCAGCGATTGGGTGGATTTTTGATTAGCATTGACCCATAAGAGAGGAGGTTGAGGGAGATCTTAGAGGAAAGGAAGCTGATGAATTCGGTAGACTGACTCCATGGGGATGAGAAAGGGATGAGGCTGGGTCTGGAAAAGGCTGACCCGAAGGGAGGACCAAAGGAGGGGCAAAATGTAGGGCTGGGGACTGGGAGCATGGTAAGGGGACCGGGAAAGCTAAGTAGGGGGAGGCGCTGGCCAGGGGGGAAGGTCCGAGCCTCCGGCCTGGATGGGGGCGGGGGAGGGGCGCTGTGTCATATAAGGCGGGTCGGCGGCCCCTCTG